CCGGTAGCAACATGTAGTGGCCCCAGGCATCATGCCTGCCTATCAAAGACTTGGATTTTAGCCCTGGAGAAATTACAACTTCTCAGTTCTCTGGAAGCTATATCGGCCGAGAAGAAAACAAGAGAATAATGAATGACCTGACTAAAGATTACTTTAATACATGGATTGCATCCTGCAAGCCATAAACTCAGGGGTGCGGGGAGACCTGGGGGAAGATGGGGAGGAGGAAGGCATCTTGTATTTGACAGGAATAGCATAGCCACAGATTACAAAAGGCAACCAACTGGGACTGCTATGACAGCAAAGTCATCTACTGGAGTACTAGGGGTTGGCACACCAAATGGAAAGTATGGATCCAGCTGATAAGCCCCAGAGACAAAGGAGTAGGAAGCTCAGCAGTCCAGGCTGGAAAAGACAGCAGGGAAGAGACAGGTTAGGAAGTTGTGAGTCGAGGAGCCAGCCTGCAGGTATGCAGAGAAGAATATAGGTAAATCCGGGGAAGCTGCACAGACGTGAATAAAAGGCGTTTGGCCCTGCATTGGTCCCTGTAGTGCTGGTAGCTTACGGCCTCATCGTCCTGCAGGACTCAAAGCCACCCTGGCCACCTCTCTGGTGGGTGGCAGGGGCAAGCAGACACAGCCCAGCTCTCACGCGCTGTCCATAGATGCCCATACACTGACTGTGCGGGGGATGCCCCACCGCTGAGACAGCTCAGCTGCTGCGTGCCGCCAAGGCAGGTTTGCCACCCAGGCACACTCAGGGGATGGCTGCTTCAGGGCCGGGAGAGGGGGTGAGCCGACCTGACGCCCAGAAACACCTACCACCGCTCGCTCGCTTCCGTGCAGACACAGTAGCTCTGCTCTATTTCTGCAACGTCCATTTTAATGCAACTTTCACCAGATAAAGTAAACTGCCAAACTGAACGCTGGGATTTACGGTCGGAGACTTTTTTTTGAAGCCCTGCAAGAGACCCAAACTGTTTCAGCTTCCTCTCTCAAATGTCAGCCTTGAGCCGTTCTTGTCTGGCCATCGGAAGCACGTGACGTGAAATAAAAGCCAGGAAATAAGACTTTCTGAATAAACATTTATTTGGTGAGAAATACTTCTGATTTTTGGCAGAGAAATGTCAGAAACCTGAAGCCCTATGTATAGCATGCCTACAGAGTGCAATTTCTATTTAAAGGGAAGCTGCAGCTGTCTGTAGCTCTTAATGAAGAATAATGCCTGGGAATAAATTACTGCCGTTTCTGAGAGACATTTCTCAAATGACAACAATTCTTCCCTTTTTCCCTCTCCCTATAAATACTGAGTGGCATGTACTGGGCAGTTGTTTGGAGGAACGGACACACGCAGCTCTCTCTTTTGTCGGTAGCCTGGTAATTTCCGTAGAAAACCATTAAGTGGTTTAGCATATGGATACCAAAGCGATTCAAAAGCAAACACATTCAGAAACATTAAGGCTGCATGTGCCAAAACTTCCCGTTGCTTTCCCAAGGTGTGCACAGATCATCACTTCTTGAACAGACACCGGGGCACCACTTCCAACCGTGTCACAAACCTGGCATTGAGGCTCAAGGCGTGGGAGACGGCTGCTCGCAGAACACCGCTGTAAGAAGCTCGCTAACATTCAATTTTCATCACTTGTGCGTGCCTCCTCTCCGAGGGGCTGTCGCAGCGGCAGCGCGGGCAGGCGGAGAAGGGGATGCTCTGGGGAGAGGGTGTGCCCGGGCCGCCGCCAGCCTGGCCAGGCGGCTCAGGAAGCGGCACTGACATCAGCTCCAGGAGCCGTCGCTCCCAGCCCTGCCGCAGGCCCAGGTGCCAGGAACAACAGCCAGCGGCCAGAGGAGGAGTACGGACAAGATAGGACCAGGGTGAAGGGAGCAAGGAGGGCCAAGGAGCGGAGAAAGGAGGCGGCAGTTCAAAAATGGGATGGAACCGGGGCTAAGCCTTGTGCAGCCCCAGTCCCCGAGATCCTCTCCAGCGCCACACTCAGCCCTTACAGTGGCAGGTTCCCACCGAAGCTGGGCACGGAAAGCCTGTAGGAGCAAGGAGCGGGGATGTTTACTATCCTGCCATCTGCAGTTTGCCCAAAATAACAGTTATAGATATGAGATCAACTGAAGACGTTTCAGTTATTGACACATACTGGATTTAGAGATTTATTTTCCATTTCCCACAAACTGCCAGAGGTTTTCGCATAAGCACAAAAAAAGAAAAGGAAAGTAATGCCTGTGAGTGAGGAATACGAAGAGTTTATTCATTGCTCCTGTCAGAATGTGTTTGTGCTTGTGCGGCTAGCACTCCAAAAAAGCTGCGGCATATGTTTTCAGGATGGAAAAAAAAACCTCAGGATGCCTAAATCCTATCAGAAAATTACAAAACCATATGCTGGAATTCACAAGGTACCCTCCTGTGAGAGCAAAGGAGCCTCACCTCGCTTCATTTTTACCCCTCACTAAGTGAAATAAACATTCCTCCTTAACAAATCCTCCTGACATCCCTTTTTCTCTCTGCAAAAGAGGAATATGGACTTGATTTTTACCAGCTCTGCTATTCCAGAAATGTGCTTCGTCCAAATGAGGAGAGCAGGAGAAAAGAAGCGAGAAATTTGTACTGTTTAGTAAACAGGCAGTTTCTAGGTGGATACAAGACACTGGTCCCAATTTATTGACCCCCTCCCTCCTCACACCCCCCTTCCTCTGAAATTTGCCTGGGTGGCAGGAGGAGGAGGAGGTGGAAGGGATGAGAACAGCTACCACTCGCAATGGGAAAGGTCTGATCGCTTTCCGCACATCTTAACATGACAACACCCTGCGAACACTCCAGGAAGAGTATTTTTCAGTAAAATCACTGTATGTTGGCTTTTCCTTTCAGCAGAAACACCATCCCTCCTCATCTCTGGTATCCCTGTCTCTCCAAGAGGATAAAGGAAAGAGGGGAGGAGAGCGGAGGAGCCTGGCTGACCCCCTCCTTCTTGTAAGCACTGTCCTCCAAGCAGAAGCCAGGCGACAACATACGCTCTCAAGGAACTTCTAAAGAGCTCTCCATCACCTATGAATGACTCCCCAAAAGAAACTAGTCCTGGATGCCAGGGTGAGAGTTGTTCTCAACAACACTTTCTTTCCATCTGTACCTGGTGAAAAGAGCACTGCTTTTTCTGCGCAAATACGGGCCTCACAAGTGTAATTCAGGGTTTTACCACCGCCATAGCAGACCGTGGGCTCATTCTAGTGGGCTCATTTTAAACCATTTAGGACAGGGCAGAATGTAATAATCATGCAGATAGCATCTTAGATACTCCATCCCCTGTAACGGCTGATGATTGCCTCCTTCTCTTGTGCAGTTTATCTGGCTGATCTGGCACACCACATACCTTAGAGGACCCAGGGAACGCTCTCCTCGGCATGAGGTGGTGCTGCTGTTGCAATCAGTGGAGGTGATTGCAACATCTTGAACAAACATCTCCTGTTATCCCAACAGCTTTGCATGCTAGGACAGTTTTTATTATTATTATTATTATTATTATTATTATTATTATTATTATTATTGGCTGCCCTCCTCTGCTCTAGGAAGTCAGCGTACAAAGTAAGCCCTTGTGGTTTCAAAGAAGTCTTTCAAAGTGTGGGAATAAGCTGATATGGCCACGTCTGCTTGGATACATAGACAGTGAGAAGCTCCAGGTCTCAGAGGCCCCTTATTCATCTTAATGAGTTACTAACTTGGCAGCTTAGTGGTACTAGTAACTAACAACGCGAAAAGCCAGCTTTGTTAACTATTCCACTGTAGATCAAAGCATGCAGGAAAGGGGAGAGATGATGAAGATTTTTCAGTGTCTTCTCTAACATTTATTTTGCAAGTGGCTCTTGGGAAAGCAGCACTGCTTAGACTCTGTCTCCATCTCCTTCCCAAAGCCTGAACCCAAAGGGAAAAGCAGAGCAAAGGAGGGCATCCAACTGTCAAGGAGCTAGAAGGCAAGCCCAGCAGTCATAAAATATATCTATATTCACTAAATTTATGGGAAATGCAAAAACTAATTTGCTCAAACTGGAAGAATCTGCAGCTATTTTGTCACTAACATCCTGAAGGACTACTGCATACTTTGGGCATAAGGATTTAAATACTAACTTACCTAATTTTGAAATTCCCAAGGTTCCTTCTTGAGACAAAAATAAGGATTATTCTCAAACCTGGCAGGCAGAGAATTCTTGTTTTCCTCTGTTTGTGAGGATGTTTGTGTTTGATCTGCACATTTGCCTATTTCAACTGAGAAAAGCAGTGGACTTCATGAGAAAAGCAATGAACATAAAAATATTTATGCCTTCTCTTTAGCCACCCCTAATGGGAACAGTTTCTTTTATTACATGCCGCAGCTGGATCATGGTCTTAGTTATGTGACTGTTTCCCTCTGAAAGGTGTGCTACTCCAATACCCATGAACACACACCTTTGAGAGGAGCATTTGTATTGAAAATACTCAAACTAATATAACAAACTGATCAAAGCAATGGGAGTTTGGAATACCAGGCGCAAATAACCGCATTTGCATTCCTCTAATTTGAAAGTGGCCAAATAATTTCAACCATTGTATGAGCATGTATAAAACTCCTAAATCTGACCTGTAGATTGCTGAACTGTTATCCATAATATTTTTCATTCTTCTTAGGCTACACAGTCACAAGGCCTTCAAATGCAGGCTTACATATTTAACTAGAAAGCGATAGTAATGTGTTAAGTAACTGTAACAGTCCAAGGAAAAGAAACCCAGAATCTGTCCTGAGATAACACTATTATGCTCTTGAAGACAATAAAATAAAGAAAAAAGAGAGAAGGAGAGAAATTCAAGTCTGGCTTTGCAGCCCAACCCAAACACATCTGCCTTTGGTTTCAGCAGAGCGAAAAGATGCTCAGTACATCACAGGGATGGGAGCAAACACCACAGTGCAGATACCACCCCCCAAAAGACACAATTGCAAGTACGCGTTATTGCTGCTAGGAACTCACAACATTCACTATGTTCTTCTCCAGGGAATTCTGGATTATGCTTTAGCATGAAGATTTTTCAGAAGCTGCTGGATTGCTCACGGGTCCTCACTGGCTTTCCTCTTTCAAATAAAGTAAGATAGAGCTGCAAAAGAAAAGAAAAAAAAAAAAGTAAGAAAGAAAAGAAAGGAATAAAAAGAGGAAAATCCATACAGCTGTTTAGCAAATGAACAATTGATTCCTACATCTCCTTGAAGCAAATGCATTTTTAATGAGCTCGCATGATGGAGATTCCAATAGAGAGTAAGTGTACGTCAAACACTGATCTAGGATAGGAAGAGTCATTTGCTCTGTCCTTCTTATTACCAACAATTAAAACCCAGTTCAGAGTTGCTGAGGCAAATACATAATTAAAATAGTTCTCGGATACTTCTGTTGCCATAACAAAAGGAAGAAGAAACTACTTGGGGTTCTTGTTTTGAAAAGTGCCTGCAAAGAAAACCCATGGTGTGTAGAGAGATCCGCACAGGAAGATTTTTGTTCTCAATGAAGCCCTCTAAGGGGACACAAACACCTATCTATTTCTGTGGTTATCTGTAAAATTGCAACAGAGGAGTACTGAAACCAAAAATACACACACACACACTTGCTATTCCTCAGTAGGAAGTATTTTTCACATCTGAGATTTTTAATATCATGCGGTTCTTCCATACTTGTTTTTTGACAGAATTTCTTTGTGGACCAACTCTTAATTTTTTTGACCTATTGTGCAAGGTATCAGACTATCCTCAGCCTTTCTACTGGGGTCTGGGAAAACTGCTGTGCTATATTTTTATGTGAACTTCACACAGAATACTTAAAATAGAGTGTGCATTTCCACAGGGCCCAAATTGAACATTTTTTCCTTCAGCCAGGTTCCCATGGTCTACCTGTGCTTCCTGAATTCTTGGTTTCACTTTGTGCCACAAACCTTTCCTATCTCCTTGACATAAGGTTCCTCAAATATTTCACACGTAATTTCAGGATTCATGCACACAAATTTCCATCCTATCCGTGCTATGGTGGAATCCATGTCCCCGAACTGAGAACATGTACAGGACAAAAGTCTACACCTTTACTTTCAGCGGGGGAAACTAAGCAATCTAGAAAATGATTAATTTGACCTATCTTAAGCATCTGCTTCAGGACAGAATGAATCACTCTCCAGAAAGGTCTGCTTCTCTCCCTCCATATAGTGAGTCTAGACACTGAGCTCAGATGGCTACAGACAAATGCAGATGAATCTCACCCTACATGAAGGCAGGAAACAAGTCAGACAGACGGACAAGAGCAGTTCACGGGTGAAGAGCAGAGGGAAGGCAATGCAATGATAGTAGACAGAGGAAACTACTGAAAAAAGTTTACAGCCCTGAGACAGTCTGTTTTAGTCGAACATACAAAACAACAACTACAAAACCCTCCAAAACCCAAACCAGTATTTGCCCAGCTGATCCAGCTTTGGTGTAAGACAACTACTGGATTTACTGGCTGAGGCTAAGCCTTCACAGACCAGTGTCCGTGAACGTTTGCCGTCTCCTCCAGCTGGCTGGGACTCTCCATGGCGCACTGGCAATGACGATGATGATCAGCCTCAGTTACATGCATCTCTGTCCTCTCCGCGATGGATCACAGCATTGCAAGATACCTGTTATAAAAGCTTCCCCAGCTTAAGAAACTCAGCTGGAAGTACAGCTCCTGTGTGACACAGGCACTGCAACCTCGAGATCCTTCAGATACCCAGGCCCTGTCTAAACTTCCAGGACTTTGGTCAACAGCTTGTCTCCTCTACTAAAATGGGACTCTGCTGCTTATCTGACAGAGAAGCATACCCTCAGACATTATCCAACAAGCTTTTTAACTTTAGAAAGCAGACCAAAAGGAGAAACACCCCAAATCGTACTTAAGTCAACCCTCAACATTTTGTTTAACCCAAACCAATTTATTTTCAAGATGTTTATTTCTTTAAATTAGGTGAAACTCAAGACTGAAAAAAATATTTTGTTTCTAGATGTTAAAATGAAACATTTTGGCATTTTCAAAATTACCACTGCTGTTTTTTTCCAATAATTTGGCAATCCAAAAACCGCCCAAAGAAATTCCACTTGTAATCTTCATGGCTTCCCCCCAAAATTCACCCAACACTTTTCTCTTGTCATTCAACACTTGGGGGAACCTGAAAATGTACTCCAAAAGACTACAACAAAATACTTAACGTTTCTGCCAAAATTAGATGGCTTCCAAGTTATTTTTAGTAAGAGCAGGGAAGTTTACTCCATGCGCACCTTGTCTCCCGTACCAGATTTTGCAGCTCCTGCTTGCACGGACTCTTCTGAGCCTCCCTGGAGAGTCAGCTGCATGTAACATTGGGCTGAAACCCACTGCACTCAAAGTCTTTCCGCTAACTTCAACAGGCGGGATTAGGATTTTGATTCCATTCAAGTTAAACAAGGCTCCGACTGCCTACACCAGGGCTCCGATCACTGAAACAGGAGCAAGCATTGCGTGCTAACCATGCAGTTATCTCACTCTCGGTCTGGAATTTGTCTTGCAGACACACGCCAGCATGTGGACACAGGAACAAGTCACAGGCAGCGTCTGTGCAATACAGTGCAGTGGTCCTCTGTGGCAGCTATCCTTGTCACTGCATTCTTATCTCACGGGAAAGATGACATGAAGCAAGGTAGCCTAGCCCTCGGGGAAAAAATGGTGAGAGACCTTGTATTTATTACAGGGCGCCTTTGCACCACGCACACAGCCAGTTATTATGGAGCGGATGATGTGCTGTAAATTCACAAGCTAGTTTAATCTGCTACAACTTGCTCACTTGACCTTACCCATAGGCACTTCCTTCTGTGCGGGGCAAGGCACGTCTGCCTGCAAATGTTCCCAGACATTTTTATGCTTAAGATTTAAAGACAGCATGGCACAAACTTCAGGACACACAGGGAGATACCCTGCTTCTTGAAGCACAATCCTCACCCGAAGAGCAGAGCACTCATTCCCTAATTGGGACGATCTTTTTGCTATGCAGATCTGATGGGCTGCGATGACATGCTCTTCTTGGAACATGCAGAAGAGTCGTAACTTAGACCATCAAGGAAGGCTGGTTTGCAGTACAACTAGGTTTTAACCAGGCTTTGCAACTGAAGTTTCAACATGATCAATGAATCATCATCACATACACGGTTACTGATCACATCTCGGCTATAAATGGGAAGTGTTCTGCAAGGAAGCTGTTTTTCATGGTCCCACAGCATTATGGTTATTCAAATATTACAGCATAGCCCTGCCTTCGAGTGCTAAAAAGGACACTGAGTAGACAGATTAGAAGTGTAATTGAGAGATGAACAGACCTCAAATCAAAGAACATGCAAGTACTTCTTGGGAGTATTTAGATAGTAAAATTGGACCCCAGGGCAATCAACAAATAAGAACCACAGTACAAGCGAGCAACTGCAAATTGGCAAAACTGAAAACCAGAAGTCGGCTCTGTGCAATACTCTGTATTTATTCCAAGAAAAGGTCATGCTCTTCATCTTGCTTTGAAGAGCAGGCAGTGAGAGATCACCATTTTTCCAGTCCTTTCCTGCAGGTTTTTAATTGCCATTCCTTGCTCTCTTGTATCACGTAATCTGGTTTTCCTAATTCACAAATCAGCATAAGCTAATAAAACTGTTTAAGAGATGGCAGCGTTGTTCCCAAGTTGTTTCGTTGTTCGCTATTATCCCACAACTAATCCTTCAACTCAAATAAAACTGTAATTCATTTCCTCCTTTATTCTCCCTCTGCATGAAATAGTTTTAGACAGGTTCAATCCTGCCCCACCGCAAATGGGAATGGTGAGGTTGTATCTTCCTGGAGCGTGGGCTATTCAATTACCTAATGCGTATATCATCTATCATGTCAGGAAACAACTTCTAAATGATTTTCAACAGGTTTAGCCGATTTTACACATACAGAAATGATTCTAATGGAAATGAAAAAAAAAAAAAAAAAAAAACAAACCAAAACCAAAAAACCACAAATCAACCAAGAATTAACTATCTTTTAGATTTCAAGTTAACAAAAGCTTCCCTACATCAGCCATGTCCAGGTTTACCCATCTGAAAATCTCCTGACATTTTTTCTGGTGTACAAAGGCTGCTCCTGATGGGGCTCAGTCATCTTTACATTAATTTTTCTGCTAGTGTAAAAAAGACTTAAATCACAATTATGCCTACTTTAAGGCTATGGTGAAGGAGTATCACCTTAGCACAAAAGAGGTTTCGTTTGCATAAAACAGGCAGGCATGACTCTGATTTCTGATTTAACACGCATTCCTCACCTGAAGCTTGATTCTCCACAGATTTGTCACATAAACAAGCACTTCCCATAGCTTTGCATGCGGTCCATAGTGAAATGCCCAACTTCACAAGGTGTTACACCCACTTTGTGCAGGCTGAATAACTGTATCTGGGTGTAAGGGAATAGTAAATCAAGTTGTCAGCACTTTGCATGTCCTGCAGGTCCTAAACCAGAAAAACAGCATGCAGATCATGGGGCTCAGACAATGAAGTGATCCATCCTGCCATGCAATCTGTAGTAGGGGTAAGAAGATATGTTACCTTCCCCAGCTCTGTGAACACATCCACGGGCCACCCCAGCCCTGCACATCTTTCCTGTGTGAACGGCATTTCCAGTGAGAGCACTTATTGGGAAAACATGCTGCAGGATGGGAACATCTCTCTGCAAACAGCAGACAGACAGGACCAGTCCGTGGGACTGAAGGGGTAAGGCTGCAGTTCACACCCTGCAGTGCAGGAGCCACTACGGAAGATGACCAGTGATTCTGCACAACCGACGTTAACTGTTAGTCATCTAGAAATCAGTGTCCCAAGATTTAATCTAAAAGAACATTATTCATCATTATTTCAGCCACAGCAGGTATTTTTCCTGACTTAAGGCTCAGGTAAACCACCCCTCATTTTACCATCAACCTATGCAAGTAGACTGGGAACGGAGTTTTTCAGCCCTACTCAATGGACATTCATCCTTCCAAACCTGTTATCTGGAAACCATGGAAGCAACTTTGTTCCCAGAGTGGTCCCCGCTGCTCTCGTTACCCAT